ATTTCAGTCGTGTCTGACTCTTCATGACCCCTTTTGGGATATTTTTTTTGGCAAAGATATTGAAGCAGTTTGCCATTTTCTTCTCCAGCTCATTTTATAGATGAGGAAACTGAGGCAAACAGGGTTAAGTGACTTGCCCAGGGTCACACAGCTAGTGTCTGAGGCTGGATTTGAAGTCATGAAGATGATTCTTCCTCACTCCAAGCCCAGTGCACTATCCCCTGCACCACCTAGCTGCCCATACATTTGGTAGCTAGGTCCAGACTAGTGTGGCTAATGAATTCTCTGAAGTGATAGCAGTATTTGAATTCATACTATATATTTCCATTGAGCTGGAGCAAATTACCATATTTTACATAATTATAATTTTGAATAGTAAGAATTCAAATACATGACCACTTCAGGGGATTCATTATTTGTACTCATCAGGACTTACATTTAATAGAAAGTAATATTAAGTGGTTTTAAGATAGTGCACTCTAAGCTGAGGAGGTGATTTAGGTGAGGTTTTGAGAGAGATTGATAGCTTGTGATCAATCCTATAGCCTAGGATTCATGCATTTTGGACCATGGCAAAATATTTGGGTTGGACCATAAATAAGATAGGTTCTATAGATATGCATTGGGAATAGGGAAATAAAGAATACCTTCTTTGTGCTAAAGAACTTCTTTGCGCTAAATACCATGGCCCGGGAGATTCAATTTTGATTGACTCATGAAAGATATAATCTATAAGTACAGATGATTTGTATTTTTCCTGCTGGCATTTAAAAAAATATATTCATTGACACCCTCACTTGCTTGACCAAGATATTGGTATTAATGAGCTTTCTCCCATGACCCCAGGTATGTATCTCTAATAGAAATTGCTTAATATCAAGTTTCAGGTAATTTCTCTGTGCCACTGGGTAGTCAAAGTTAAGAAACAGGAATCCAGAGTAAGAAGGGTTGAAGTGATAGGTAATTTGAATAGCCTTGAACTAACAGATATTTTGGAATATTGCCATTTCACCGTGAATTCCTGGTTTCATTCAACTCCCTTTTTTTTTGTTAACATTATTTTACACCTTTATTATTAGAATATGACTTTCTCTTGACTGCACACCCCACTGAAATTGATCCCTTACTTGCAATAAGGAAAAACATTTGATAGGCTGTAACCTACCTATGTATTCAACCTTCTATCTCTAGAGTGATCTTCCCTACAACATCTCTACAAGGCAGATAGGTGGTACATTGGGTAATGAGAGTGTTGGACTTAAAAGCAGAGCAGACCTGATTTCAAATCCTGGTTGAGCCACCTGCTATCTTTGTGACCTCATTCAAGTTACTTAACCTGTGCCTCAGTTTCCACCAAAAAAATAGCATCTATTTAATAGAGTTGTTGTGTCAGATGAGATGATGTCTACAGTGCTTTGTAAACCCTCAAGGCCCTTTATAAATTCCAATGACTATTAGCTACTATTATGATTAATAATTATGAGAGGGTATGTTTTTTCTTTGTCCTATATTTGGTAACAAGGTTGGTTATAACAATTTCTCAGGGTTTTGGCTTCCTTTTAGTGATCATCTCATTTTTGATATTGCAGTCATATATGTTGTTTATCTCCTAATTTCATTTACTGTCATTTATAGAAATATTTCCATATTTCTGTGAATTTCTCACTTAAATTTCTCACAAAAGTAGTCCATTACATTCAGGTGCCAGTTTGTTTCATGCACATCCACCTTGCTTCTGGTTCTTTGTTACCCCAAAAGTGCTGCTATTAATATTTTGGTACTTATTGAGTCTTTCTGTTTTTGACCTCTTTGAACGTAGATGGCCAGCAGTGGAATTGTTGGGTAAGAGGACATGAACTGTTCATTTTTATGTCATAATTCCAAATTTCGACCCATATGTGAAACTACTCAGTAAGATGATATTGGAGGACAGGGGATTTGAGGAAAATCAGATATTTTTAGTGGTTTGTTTTGTGTAGAAATAAAACCTTATGGGTCAAAAGTTGGGACCTAAGGGCAATGAGGATAAAATAGTTAAAACCTACCAGAGCAGTGCTATCAGTGTGAATACAAGGGTTTTCTAGGTGGCTATAGCTGTGTAACAAGCTGCCAAAACAAGTGGCTTTACCCAATATCCTTGATGATAAGCATATGGTGGTGATATTAGTAAACACTACAATAGCAGCTGACAATTTGAAGTCAGTGCATGATCTTTATAAATTTGAAGAATGGAGCTGTACGTAACTTTTTATACACTTACAAAAGTTTAAAAATTAACTCCATTTAGTTTGAACAAGATACTTGCAGAGCTGAACCTATTTAAGTTGTGCTTTTGGCTTATTTATTCAGTATGTATTTCTATACTGGCTTTGTTTAGTTCATTTTTTCATCAGCCAGAACATACCTGAGTACTAATTCCTTTTGGAATGAAATAATTTGTAAGTAAAATCCAGGTAGTCTGATCAGGAAGTTTATTTCAAAATGCTTTTCCTTTTTGCAGGATTATTTTTAAACTTGCTGAATTACCCAGCTAACAGCAGCAACTCCATTCTCTAGAACAAAATGGCAACCAGCAAGAGATCCTGACATCTTTTCCAAAAATTTTGGCAGACTTTCAGCTATCTGAACACTGTAGATTACACTGAGCTAGATAGCATAGGGGAGTAAAATCTGTATCTACTTTTGTCTTTGTTTTCAAGAGTCTAAATTAGTGTTTTATTTTTGGTTCTTTGGTAGAGCACAATAATAACTAACCAGCCTGATGGAAGGCATTTGGGGGGGGATGGTTTTTTTTATTGCATTTGTGGGTTAAAAAAATGTTGGTGGTTGATTTTTGCTTATCATGAAACAATAATGTCCATCTCCCTCCTCCTCCCTAATCTCTTTTTAGAAGGGATTTTTTTTCCCTTCTAACTTTGGGACTCCTCCCAACATTTCCTTTTCATCTACTAAAATAATAAAGACAAAGAGCTAAGGCTGTAGGGGTTATGATAAAAGGCTTAATCTTGTAACAGTTAATTTCAAAAGTTTTATTTCTCAGCAGGTGTATAGGCCGTTCCAAGGGCCAAGTGCCATTGTCGCAGGGCTAAAGTTGATCGAGTCAAAGTAAATCTTTTTCATTTGAAGGCTTAAAAGCCATAAAGTGTATGTGTGTATGGGGAGTGAAAAATCAGTGCAGAGTCACAATAACAAAAACAATTTTTCTTAATGGAAATTTTTAGACATATAAAAAAAGGCCAATTTTGTAAACTAAAACCAAGAAATATAAGATTCTATTCTTCTAATACAACAAATAGCAGAGCCTGAGTCTTCAGGTACATATTAAGGCCAGTTAAGTGATCTAGAGGGGAAGAGGATGAGAATGAAGGAGAAGCTATCAGAGAGCTCTAAAGAGACAAACTGAGGGACTTAGATCAAGTGCTTAGACAAAGTACAGTTTTCACCTTTCCCTGGGAAAATTTGAGGAAAGGTGACACATGAGTAATCCTAAATGAGACAGATATCAATGCACCCATGTTTTCAGTAGAGATCTTTATATTTTCTGACTTGTACAGTAGTCATATTTTAAAAATAAAGTACTAACAGGATTATTGTTAGCAAGCTCACCAATTTCCTTATTCTTTGGCAGGCCAGTCATTTAAATTGTACTTTCAAAATGTTAGAAAATTGAAGAAGTGACAGTGGAGGCTTATACCAACACCAATTTCAAAATTATTCCTACAAAGATTCCTTGAAGAACCCTGTAATCTCTTTTCCTTTTTGATAGACATGCAATTTCATACTTTTAAAACATTAAGTTTTCATCTGTCCTTTGTTAATTTCCTTCTGGATAATCTCTGTTTGGGAGGTGAATAATAGTGAGCTGAAAAACCTAGAAGCAGAAAGTCTTCTTTGCCTTCCCTCAGAAAAAGAAGTAAAATCATTTGACCTAATATTAGTCATCTACTTTCTTTTTGAAGTTAATGGAACCATCTAGTTTTGCTATTCAAGCTTTTTAATATGAATTTTTAATTTTACACTATAAAATAGATGGCACATTTGTGCTTAGACAGTCAGTGTGCTTTTGGGATATGGTTTATGGAGTTAGGAAAAACTTGGGGTTTGAATTCTGCCTGGAGATACTTATTAGTTGTGTGATGGTGAGTATGTAAAATGTAAATGGGGGATTATATCACCTTCCTCACTGGGTTATTACTAAACCACCCAGATGGATCTATGATCTCATTCGTTTGGAACCTTCCTCCATTAATGCATTTTGCAACTCACCCACTCCTGCCCATCCTGCACCACTGTTGTCCATGCCCCCTCCCCCCAACATAATGTGTGTATCATTTTACAAACTTGAAAGGGCTACACAATCACCAGCTCTTATTATTTGGGGATGTTTATCTAGTGGCTGAACACTTTGGAAAATTCAAAATCTTTCACACAAGATAAAGAGAAGAGGGGTGGAGGGAGAGGGAGAAAAAGGGAGACAGAAAGAAAGGGAGAGACAGACATATCCATATATACGTACATACAGAATAAATACAAAGTGGATTTGGAAGGGAGGGCACCTCCAGCTGTGTTTGGAAGGAAACCAGGGATTTCCTGGTGGAGAGATGGAGATGAGAATAGAGAGCATTCTTGAATTATTCAGATAATCTGTTAAGCCCTAGATCCAATGCAGGTGGATTGAAAGAAAATACTTTCTTAGGAGCAGAGGCATACGTTTAGAAGTAAAGGGTGATTGCTGTGGGATGTATAAGGAAGGTTCTGAGTGCCAGGTTGGACATTCTGTACTTGATCCTTTCATTATTTAGGGTGTCTGAAAAGTCTTAATAGCTTAAAACTACTTTAAGACTTTTGGAACACGCTGTATATAGTCAAGTCGAGAAAATACCCTCATTATACCAGGCAGTTGGATTTGTGGTATATGAATTAGAAAATCCAAAAAAAGGACAAGTTTTATCTGAACTTCAAATGTGTACATGCTTACATTTCCTTCTTTATTCCTACAGTTGTACAATGTTAGATGGAGTTATGATTCTGCCTGTTCTCATGATGATAACTTTCCCCTCTCCTAGTATGGAAGGTAAGACATGATTCATACCCATTTCCCCCCATCTGTAACATAGTGAATACTTGTATAAGTGAATAATGTGTAGGAAATATACTGTTTAAATTTTCTTTGCCTATATACACTTACAAAATTTTGATAGTGATGACATTTTCCCCAAAAGCTTCAACATTTTGATTGGCACATTGACCAATGAAAGAGGGAAGGGAAAGGAATAAACATTTATATAGAGCCTACTGTGTGCCAGGCATTGTGATAAGTATTTTGTATAAATAATGTCTTATTTAATCGTAATGATTACTAAATCAACCAAGATATGTCTTAAGAAAAATGTTTTACCTTTGGATCATAATTCTTCCAGCTAGGTGGTGTGAGCTTTGGGCCTGGAGTCAGGAAGACCTGAGTTCAAATTTAGCCTCAGACACTTAGTACCTGTTTGACTCTTGGCAAGTTACTTAACCTCTTTGTCTCAGTTTTCTCAACTGTAAAATGGGGGTAATAACAATACCTTCCTCATAGGATTGTTGTTGAGTCTCAAATGATATAAAATTTGTAAAGCACTTAGCACACTGCCTGACATATAGTAGGTGGTATATACGTGTTTATTCTCTTCCCCTTCCCATTGCCTCATATAGTACATTATACTAGCCCTTCACTCCTAGTGTTTAGATCTAATCCTGTTTGACATTTTTAAGGAAATGCTCTGGCACCTTTTATGATACCCACATTTTGTGATATTGAATTGTGTGCTATACATACACACACGTACATGTGTATACAATGTATGTTGTGTGTATATATATAGATATTATATATGTATATAAAAGTTGGGTTTGTTATGTAAAGACATTTAATCACAATGATCTTTTTTATTTTTATGCTATTTTGATAGTAAATGCCTTTTTTTAAAACTATAATATATCACATCTTGAATTCCAGCAAAGTAATATTCCTAGATGTTTGGAATATTTGTGGTATGTACTTACTAAGTCTAGTATTGGGAACCTAGGATAGTAGATAAATATGGCTTTTAACTGTATGTGTACGCGTACTTGTTTTGTGTTTTTCATAATATATCAGCATTCATATTTCCCTTTCATTACATATAAAGTTGTAGAAAATATCATGTGTTGGGTAGGTTGGACTAGATGACCTCTGAGTTTACTGCTAACTCTTTAAGATTCAGTGCATTAAGTTGTAATAAGACTTTACTGGATCTCATACTTAAAAATAGCTAAAATGTCTTCTGCTCTTTTCTCTCCCATTAGTCATTAATTATACTATTATAAAGAGGCGACAGCATTGTAGAAAATTTCAGTTCTAAACTTGTATGGCTATTGTTGGCTTTTTCTTTCCTCTTAGAAGCATTTGCAGGCCAGGTCTATTACACTATATTTCATTAATAAAAGAAATCTATTTAATGATAAATGCTTCTATCTCAAAAGATTTACATTTTGAAATTTATTTTATTGAAGATTTACTTCAGTGAAAATTAGTGAGTTATATAACCATTTTTATTACAACAAAAACCTTTGACCTATCTGGTGGTATTCATTGTTAGGTTCCCAAATAATTTCCAGGTTGACTGCATAATAAAATTTCAAAACCTGGCATTTGGACCCTCATACAATGTTTATTGTTAGATACCCAAGTAATTTTGACTTTGACTTAATAATAGAATTTCAAAAACTATCATTTCTCAGAATGCCTTAGGCCAATTAGAAGCAAGAGGGTACAAATCCAATAGAATTTTTGTTATGAACTACAAAGCTTCTGTTTTTTGCCAGTGGAAGGAAGATTAGGCCTCTCTCTTTTTTTTTTCTGTATTCTTGCTGAATATTCAAAAAGTTCTTGAAAGCATGGGACAGTAATAGAAATGTCTTAGCATTATATATTTTTTTCTGTTCCTTTTTACTGTAAAATACCTTTTAAAAATATTTAATGCTTACCCCTTATTTTATCAGTTTTATTATCAAATGAGGCAATGTGTTTTTTTATGTTAGTTTTTGTTTTAGTAAAGAAGGTGGCATCTAATGCATCTGTTCTATTTAGGCAATGATGCAGAGCTTATTTGCTGCTACTAAAAATATGAAATAAATATGAGGGCATTAGACATTATACCTTTAAGATTTTGGTTCTTGACCACCAAATGCATTTTTTTCTAGTCCTAATGATGGAAGCAAAAGGGATAAATGGAGAGAATTTTAGACTAGGAGTCAATAGACCAGGGATTTAGTCTGCCATAAATTATCGATGTAACCTTGAGCAAGTCGCTCCACTGAAGGCAGCTAGACTTGGCTTCTTCAAGATCATACATTCTATGAATAGGTAAAACATGTCAATTTAGGTGTCTTATTAGTTGACATAAAGATAATGGCAACACCAATAATAATAGCTAATACCTATGTAACACTTCAAGGTTTACAAAGTGCTTTACACATTTTATCCTCACAATAACTCTGAGAGATAAATGCTGAATTTATCCCCATTTTAAAGATGAGGAAATTAGGGCTAAAAGAGGTCAAGTGACATGCCCAGGGTCACATGGCTAGTGAGTGTCTGAGGCCAGATTTGAACTCAAGAAGATGAGTCTTCCTGACTCCAGGCCTGTGACTCTATTTACTGGACCACCTAGTTCCCTATAGAACCTTAGATTGCCTTAAATAAAAAGTAAAAATTGCCTAGATTGACAAACTGCCCGTAGGAGGAGTAAAATATGTTTTGATGGGACTGCACATAAGAGTGTAGTAAAAAAGTCACCAGGGACCCATTCCTTTCCTTTTTACTAAACTAGTTCTACTAGTTTTATTGGTTTACTAGTTTTACTAGTTTTAGTTTAGTTTAGATAACTTCTGAGGAGGTTATCTAAATGAAGAGAGTACCCTGTTTTATAAGTGGGGCAAATCTGAGTTTATAGATGAAGTAATGAAGTCAGTTATTTGGTGAAGTCAAGCGATCTGTGGTTTCATTGGTATGAGGAGGTCTTTTTGCTCATCGATACTTTAGCAGATAGATGACTTCTCAAGTTGCTGTCAAAAAAAAATGATTAAAAAAATTATTGCCTGGCATCGCATCTTCTGGTGAGGATTCTATCCACATTTAGTAAGTCTGATCTTTAGACAATAGATCTAAAGTTCTCTAGATTCAGACTTGTTAAGTAAGACCTTACATAGCCTTTGAGAACCCAGAGTTACCTCCATACCGCAGGATGAAGCATCAGGGAACTTGAGTGGAAAGATTTGTTGAAATTCCACCCATTTTCCTCTTTTCCCAATAGGATACAAAACAGTACCAGTTTCTCACCCATTTCCATTATTTCCCACACCCCTATTAAACAAATAAAATGTGACTAAAATCATCCACACCCCCCCCAAGAAAGAAACAACAGAGAAATGAGCAACAACAGCAACAACAAAAAATACCCCTAGTTTCTCAGAGTATAGCAACACAAACTAGCAAATGAGAAAAATAATAATCATTGCCTAATGCTAATGTTGATTTCAAGGTAGTTTGTGTGAATAAACTTTCCTCAAAATATTTTGCAGAATTCATCCTTTAGAGCAGGGATTTCTTAACCTTTTGTGTCAAGGATATCTTTGGCATTCTTGAGAAGCTTTGGTATGCTTCCACGGAACAAGTGCTTTTAATTGCTTAAAGTAAGATGCACAGGATTACAAAGCAAACTAATTATATTGAGATTTTTTAAAAGTTTCTTAAAGTTCACAGACCTCAGGTTTATAACCTCTGAGGTCTAGAGGGAATGTTGCTTATTTTGACACCTATGAAAACTAAATGTGAGGTTACCTAACTCAGAAATGGTCAAGGTGAACTAGAATCTGTATTTCACAGTGTCCCTGAACCTGTGATACATTTAGAAGGAGGATGCAAGTTGGCATATATACTCCAATCTCACTTACTGTAAGTATTCATCTGTTTCTTTATAGCAGTATTTATCTACTCATTCATGCATTCATTTATTCATTCATTCATAGACAGGAAAGTCTTGCCTAGGTTGCAAGTATAGCCTCCACCAGAAGATGACCAGTGGGGGAGGAGGAGCTAAACTTAGTGCTGGACTCAGTGTAATTACTTCTCAGCCCTACTGCATTTCAGAACTCCTGAGCTCAAGCAATCCACTAACCATAGCTTGCCAGAGATAACAGATGTGTACTACACCACCTAGCTGGCATATGAACTTTAACCTTGGTCTTAAGACAGAAGTAGTTTCAGTAGACTGGTTCTAATGAGCTGAAATTATGCTTTATAGAGATTTTTTTAGAGGAACTATATCTTTTGCTAGACTTCTTTTTCTTTTTTTCTTTTTTTGGCATTGAAACAAGTATCTAGACTTCTCCAGAATAGCTTTTCTTTCTTTTATTTTTTTCTTCTTTTATGGGAGGTGGGAGAAAGAAGGGGAGAAATTTTGACTTATGTGAATCCAGTGCAATCTGTATGTTCACCAACAGGGGCTTTCCAGTTCATTCATCCTCCTAATTTGGAATTATTAATATTATCTTTCATCTCCTTCATCTGTGATATCATCTTCACATGGCTATTCTCTTGGGGTATTGCAATAGCCTCAGAGGTCTTGCCACTACTGTTCCCTCTTATTCTGCTTTCCCCATTCTCCTCCTTAATCTCCTTTATTCATAGAAATGGTCATATTTCTTCTGCTCAGAAATCTGTAACAGTTCTCTCTTGGCTATCAAATACATTTTAGATTTCTTTACCTAGGAAACGAAAATCCCTTACATTCTGGGAACATTCTACCTTTCTGGCATGTCTAAAACTATTTTGATATATTCTTGACACTTCAGCCACCCTCAGCTTCTCTGTATCTCCCATCCTGCCCTCGTGCCTCAGTCAGGCTCTACCCAGTCCTTGAAATGCCCTTCCTCTCCTGTTGAATTCCTTCCTATTCTGTGAAACCCAACTTAAATGGAGCTTCCTCCATGAAACCTTTCCTAACCTTGCTAAAAATCCTTTTTACTTCTGACTACATTTAGATTATGACA